AAGCTTAAGGATATTGCAAACAAAATAGTTGATTACAAATCGGATATTACAGATAACTTAGAATTGATAATCTCGAATTTTGTGAAGACAGACTGGAAGCAATTCAAAAATACAGTTAGAAGTGATAAAAGTGTTAGGAGTTAGAGAAATGATTTCGAAATGAAATATGCGGAAAGGGAGCAAAATAAAAATGATCCAATGGTTGATAATTTTAGATTAATATATCAAAAAACTATTATTCAAATCTATCATTTAGCAGCTCAATCTTTGCTTCAGATATTGTATTTTCTGTTACTACAAAATTTTGCTTTTTCAAATAAATTTTCAAGTAAATTTCAGATGAAAATATCACATGCTCAGTGTGTCGATACACCATGGGGAAGGAATTATCATGAAAGCAGTGAAAATTAAGAGAGAAATTTGAGAAAATTTTGTGATATTCTCTTTTTTTCAAATCGAATTCCATTATTCATTTTATCTCTCTTCGTCATTAAAATATCTGATTCACATTTGCATGACTTCTGTATTGATGTTGCTTTTAGCAGCCGGGAGATTTTAAATTATTTTTGATTATATGTTGGTCGATTTGAAATCTTATCAAATTTTTGCGAAAATCCATCAATTATTAACATATTTTTTTATAATAGATTTTGTAAAATAATATGGATTTATTAATTCTATGCAAAATCGAAAACAAACGAAAAACGATTTGTGTGCAGGAACTGTAAACATAAGATATAAAATATAATGATGTGGTTCCTCTGCAATATAATTAAATTTCAGGCTATAAATGTGTTCAGTAAAGGGTACAACGCCTATGCAAACCAAATTTTAGTAATCGGATTTTTGGAAACAAGTAAACAATAAAGTTCACTATATTTTTGATCATTTAAATACTATTTCGAATTGAATTTATGAGAATTTCTGATTTAATGCTATTCCATTGCAGCAAAATTCATTTGTATAGATAACCTAGCCAAGGTCACGTCAATAAGTTGCTTTAAAAAATATTCCAAAATTTACATCTTATTACTTTGAACATTTCTTAAAATAATTGGAAGTCTTATCAATTTTTTCCTGGTGAAATTTTAAAACATTTTCATAAATTTTTGATGTTTCTATTAAATTCTTTTCATCACTCCTCCTATTCTTCACCTTTTCTATTTTGCTGATTCATTGATTAAAAATTTTATCTACCATTTACTTTTGGTTTCTTTCTTCTTCCAAAATTTTCCTTTTAAAATTCATAACTCAATAATTAATTTATTTGTTGAGCAAACATTGATGTTATTTTTAATAATAACTTAATTAAAAATAATGATGATTTATAGACATATGCTGGAATTTATTCTTAAACGAAATACATGCGTCCTTTAAATTTCTCTGAAACCGTAACATATTCCTGTAATGCTGTATCACTGTTACTCATTACTGATTGTGCGCGACCGTCCTGAAGAATGAATGAAAAATGATCAATTTTCAATTTTGCCAAATTGTCATAATTCTTGCGGAAAACTTTGTCATTGGTTGTCAAAAGCAATGAATAGCAATTAATTACAGTTGAAAAGTTGCACTACAGTTTCGTTTGCTTTCAACATTATGTACACAAATACAGTTTGGATTCAAATTTCTTTTTTCAATTATCTATCTTATCAGTTAATTACAGATTGCATACAACTGAAGAAGTAATTTCGATCAAAAATTTCACACAAACATCACTATCATCCTTACAATAAAATTGAAATGAAGACAAATTTAAATAAATTTTTCAAAGTTTATTTGTGCAAAATTTAAATTAATAAATTATAAAAAAATCAATACATATTAGAAGAACCTACTTTGATACTTTCTACATCTGAAAGATCATCATCATCAGTGATGTGTCGTATACTTGTGATACGTCCTGCCGAAATTAATGATGATAGAGATGAGGAAATAAGTGAAGCAGCATCTGATATTATATCTGATTCATAAACCCCCCTAAAAGTAACTATTCATTTTTATTAAAACACAGTCGTTAAAATTAGCAATGAATTATTTAAATTATTAAATCGAGGAATCTAAAATTTCACATGACTTCCCATTTGTCGTTCCCCTTATCAATCTCATGAATGTTGACACCAAAAAAAAAAAATACATTTTTCGTTTAAGATGGCATCGTGCACGTGTAGCTACAAGATCGGCGTAGTAAACAGGTGCGGGAATGGAAACTGAACGAGCGCAACGGCCATATGCATGGCACATACTGAATGTTATTGACTGAAGTTCATCTGATGTGAACTTTGAATCATCCCAAAGAACGTGATAACGTGCTGGTCTAGAAGTACCCTGAAAATATATTCTATTAATTTTGCACGTTTTTATGAAATAAGTGTGATGTCTGATTAATTTCCGGATACAATCATAAAAGAATTCTAAATATGTATGATTAAATTGTAACTGTTCAATTAATATTGCATCAAAATTTCATTGATTTCTAAACTGTTTAAAATTTTTTCAATTTTCAATCTTAATCTTGATTGTTTCCACGAATTAAATTTTGACTAAATTATTTCTTTTTTAAAATGCAATGTAAAATTAGTAATTTAAAACAATAATAATTGAAAAAGATTTGAATTAAATAAAGAGTTTAATATTTTACCTGAATACCGAAATGTGAGCACAGATAGAAGTCGAAACCTTCTGGTGAAACAATTCCTGTATCGACTACTGTACCTGGTGGAATATTCTTCGCTTTACCAACTGCGTCACGTGTATACTTGCAGAACATCCGTGCATGATGACGTTTCTGCACGACAATATATGTAATTGGTGGTCGATAGTCTGACGATAGCATTAAGCATGCCGTACGAATACCTTGCATTTCTTCACGTAAAACCTGAATTTCCTCTTATTTGATTAGAAGATTGAGAAAGAATCATACTTTTGCAACTTTTGCGCTAACTTTTTCAAGCTGCAGAATATTAACATCACGTATAATTTAAAGCAAAATAAAGACTATAATTCTAAAACAGTACTAATTCTATCACCTCACTGAATTGTCCTTCCGAAACTCCATCACGATAAACGATGATACGATTTGGTTTCTGACGTGTTGTTTTATAGAAACTGACGAGACGTTCACGTACAGCATCCAAAAGATAAACAACCGATTCGCGACATTTACGTTGGATTTTGATATTTGCGCCATATGATTGTGGATATAAGTCAAGATTGGCCACAATCTTTAAATGAATTTGTCAGCCAGCTATTTCAATCATCTCTATTAGATTTTGCATGTTTAAACTTTTGTAAATGTTAACTTAAAAAAAAATGATATTTTTAAATTGAAAAAAAGAAGCAAAATTTGAAATATACTGCCGCAACAGATGGAATATTTTGTCGTTCTTCGTGCTGTGTTGGATGAGTAACATCGATTCCGACAATGAGTGTTGGAACATCGATGAGATACTTTTGAGTAATCGAGTCAGCAACAATACGTGAATTAATGCCACCTAATTTCATATTCATTTTCAAAATCATATTACAGCACATTGCCGGTGATGGACGTGTAATATTTTTCATCAGAACGCACTGTGACATAATTCCATGTATCATATCACCGCATTCCTTCACTGTCACTAAAAGCATTTTAATTAATTAGGCAATGTTATTCAATCATATTTCACACAATTATTGCAGTCAATAAGAAAAGTGAGAATTAGCCAACATTAGAATAGCATTTTATTGTTAGAAAAATATAAATTTAAAATGGCTTGAACTTGCTTAGTTTTTTTTTTCTCTCTCTCTCTCTCTCTCTCTAACTCCTCACATTATTTTACTTTTTAATAATTATTTTGTTGTCCAAAAACATTGTTTTAATATAATTTATTCATCCAAGCTCAATTATAATAGCGGTTATGCTATAAAATCTATTTGTATTGTAAAAATTTTTGACATATCAGATAAAATTTGAAATAAAAGTGAAGAAGAAATTTTAAAAAATATCGAGAATTCAATAAAAACCGAAATAACTGAAATGACCGTATTATCAATAACTAACTGTAAAGATCAGCATTTTTAGCCGGTAATACAACGATAACGAGATCACATGTTGTCCCTGTTTGTTTATATTCGGTAGCAATTTCATTGAACAAGATGACAACGTCTTCTTTGGTACGACCATATTTCACTAAATCAGGCCAATTTGGAAATTCCATTCCCATTTGATTAGCTTTTTGAGTAAGTGCTTGACAGAAAGCTCTAAATTGAATTTTTTCGTTTTATTTTTTAGGCCAGAAAAGAAATAATCAAAATTTAATCATAATAAGTAGCAAGAAATTCTGAAATGGTATAGAAAGTAAGAATTAATTTTTTGCACTATTTTTGAGTTAATGAAGATGATTGTGAATGAAATGTGAAGCCTGACAATGAAATTAGCACTAAAAACTGACTGTAAATGATTTTGCTCACGCGGATTAACAATTGCTATCATGGAATAGCTATGACAGCTAGCTGGTAAGTATAGCTGCTGATTATCCATTGACCAAGCTCCATCTTTTGGTGTAACAACTGGATCCTGAAATAAGTTTAGCTTTTTGAAATGAGCTTTTCAATACTTCCAAGAATGCATTCAAATGCTTCAGAAAAAAAAAACAAACCAAAGCAATTATTGTTAAATAATTCTAAATAATTATAAAAATAGGTAAAATTAAACCGTTTTACAATTATTTTCGCCAAAAAGTATACGAGGTGGTGTTAAAATACGAGCAACTGTTTCAAACATTTTCGGATTAATTTGTAAGCCGAATTCACGCAAGAATGGATCATATTGAAAGCCAGCTTGCTCACATAGCGATGCAATACGTTTTTCACGTGAAATTGCATCAACAGCTGCTGCCTGAATCATTTTAAAAACGGAACTTTTCAATGTTTTCAGATTTTTGCCATCATGTCTAAAGCTTAACTTAACAAAATACAAATACAAATAAAGTACTGATACTGTTAAGATTATAAAAATACAGGAGTGACATCAAATTGTTACATGTTTAGTAAACACGCAGTATATAATTTGAAAACTGAATATTTAACAAAAAAAAAGTATACATATATTTGAAATGATTTTGGAAATTGAATCATACTCGAATAATAGTTGACGTCTGTTTCTCGTTTAATTTTTTGCTGTATTTTTGTGGTGTGTCAAGCATGCAAACTTCCAATGGAAAATAGATATTACGTGTTGTTGGACCTACGTGAACGCATGGCAATTTCGGATATTTCAGCTTACTATAACGTTCATTAAAATAATCGGCCACTGTCATACGTCGTTCATTACCATCTTCATCTTTACCTTGAAACCTAAAATATATTTTCGAATTATCTGCCAACAAATGTTTAGCTTCTCTTAAATACAAAATTTCAACTATGCTGCTAATGCAAATAATAATTTAAGAATATGCAAAATTATTACGATACATCAATATATTAGCTCACAAAATCATATAAATGAGAGATTAGGAAATAGCACAAAGAGAAGCAAATTAAATTTGTTATTTCATCATAATAAATTAATAAGAAATGATAGAAATATCACACCAAAGCTGATCAGCTGGAAGTTGAAGACTATTAACACGATAAACTCGAATGATACCAGCACGATGTGAAATGCGTACTTTAATTCCTTTTACTGCATCACCGAAAATTTTTAATTCATGACTGCTCAACGAAAAATCTTTGTGCAACTTTTCAGGCTAAAAAATTTTTCAAATTTTGAAAAATAATTCAACTCAGCAAAGAAGATAATTTTTATGGTTTGAAAAATTGAAACTACAAAAGAAATTTCCATTTTCAATTTTTTGTATTCTACAAAAAAAAAAAAAATTAATAATTTTGAATATTTGACATTTATTCTATTGAAATAACAAATATAATGAAAATGTAATTTTAAAGATCAAATTGCAAAATTTCTTTTTCAAATTAAATTAAATGCAAAGAATATTGATAAAATAAAATCAATAAGAAAAAAACATTACAGAAAGTGCTCCTCCGATATAATTATTATAGCTATAGCTACGATATCGATTATTCAAATGACGTGAACAAGATAGCGAATTGATATAGCCACAATCGTAACGTGATCCACCACGTATGTTACGTGTGTTACATGATAAATTATCCCAATAGTTTTCTTTAGAATTTGATCGACAATAATGACCCGATTTTTCATTTAACACTTCACACATAAATTGAACCAAAGAGATATGCGCTTTATAAAATACTGTATGCGTCACTGTAAAAAATTAATCTTTCTCGTTTTATCGACATTCAATGATGATAAATTTGAAATGATACGGTTATTTTTTGCTATTTTTTATTTCTTAATATATTTTTCACACTTTTTTGGTTCGTGATGTAATTTTTTCTTCATAGGATAGTGAATAATTTTTTAACAAACATTGAAATTTATAATTTCAGAAAAGCACATTTGAGAGTTTTATAGTTGTAAAAAGTAGCTAACCATCAATGTTAAGAAGCGGTTTCCATCCAGTAGCTACATGTGCAGAAGAGAAAAATCCAGTCCACATCTCTTTGCCACCCTCTAAATCCAATGCCGCCACA